TCCGCTGGATCCGCTGGATCCGGTGACGAATCCCAAACCGGCGCCCTCGCTTGAGACATCCTCACAAAACCGGCCCCGGGGGAGGTGCCCAGAGGAGCCCAGAGCGGCCTCCGGCACCGTTTCCGGACAGATCCGGTGGATCCGCTGGATCCGGATGACGAATCCCAAACCGGCGCCCTCGCTTGAGACATCCTCACAAAACCGGCCCCGGGGGAGGTGCCCAGAGGAGCCCAGAGCGGCCTCCGGCACCGTTTCCGGACAGATCCGGTGGATCCGCTGGATCCGCTGGATCCGGTGACGAATCCCAAACCGGCGCCCTCGCTTGAGACATCCTCACAAAACCGGCCCCGGGGGAGGTGCCCAGAGGAGCCCAGAGCGGCCTCCGGCACCGTTTCCGGACAGATCCGCTGGATCCGCTGGATCCGCTGGATCCGGTGACGAATCCCAAACCGGCGCCCTCGCTTGAGACATCCTCACAAAACCGGCCCCGGGGGAGGTGCCCAGAGGAGCCCAGAGCGGCCTCCGGCACCGTTTCCGGACAGATCCGGTGGATCCGCTGGATCCGCTGGATCCGGTGACGAATCCCAAACCGGCGCCCTCGCTTGAGACATCCTCACAAAACCGGCCCCGGGGGAGGTGCCCAGAGGAGCCCAGAGCGGCCTCCGCACCGCGGAGCCGCTGGATCCGGACGACCGCGCCTTGAGATCCTCACAAAACCGGCCCCGGGGGAGGTGCCAGAGGACCCAGAGCGGCATCCGCACCGTTTCCGGACAGATCCGGACAGATCCTGTGGATCCGCGCCCCGGTGGAGGGCCCAGAGGAGGAATGAGGAGGAGGAGGAGAGAGGAGGAGGAGGAGGAGGAGGAGGAGGAGGAGGAGGAGGAGGGAAGGAGGAGGAGAAGATGATGGAGCTGCGGGGTGGAGGAGGACAGACGAGCAGAAGAAGGATGGAGGAGGAGGAGGAGGAGGAGGAGGAGGAGGAACCTCATCACCCTCGCCAACAAGCGCACGCACCTTCTTCTATATACAGAAACTCCCGATCAACCGCAGAGCGGCCGGCTAGGACTCCTTCCGAAGCCTTGGCCAGAGCGCACGCCGAGACAGGTCTGCACGGTGACGTTTGCAGCACCCCTCGGAATATCCCCCGGATATCCTCGGCGGATGTTCCGTGAGGAAGATGGGGCATTCTCAGACGGCTCCCAGCGCGAATCGTGATGTGACTAGGGTGTGGGTGTGAGACAACGGGAGTCAATCAGAGACAACGGGAGACAACGTCGCGGGCCCGACTGCGAGTTTTGCAGCGCACCTTCCCGCTTCTGAGAGGAAGCCCTTCTACAGAGAAGCAGTTTCGGGGAACATCGGACTGTCGGATATCACGGGGGGGAGGAGGGGCCATTCCCTGAAAGCGCCAGCGCGAATCCTGATGTGAGCGGGTGGGTCGTCCCCCATAATGGTTACCTCGAATCCGCGAAAAGTGTTTTCTCTGCCTCGTCCCCCGTTTCGGGGGCGGCGATCCGGGAGGCGATGTCCAGGGGGGATGGATACCATGGCGGGGACACGATATCACCCAGATCTCACGGCCCCCTCTTCTTTTGCCCATACGTCTATTGAACCGCCCCACCCCCCCTTTGGCCGCGCACGCGCCTTGGGCCACCCCCGCGGACCCTGGAAACCAAGGGCTCCCTCGAGGGCGCGAAGTTATTCGCGCTTCGCGCTTCGCGGTCCTCGTTCCTTCTCCCCCTCCTCCTCGTCCTCCTATTCTCCCTTTGGGGGGGCGGCGCGAGAGCGCGAAGTTATTCGCGCTTCGCGCTTCGCGCAGCGCGAAGCGCGAAGTTGGGAGCCCTAGTGGAAACCCCCGTGTCCGACGCCCCCCGCTTGGACGCCCGTCCCCGCGGCCTCTCCGTGGCCCGCCCGCCTCCCGGCCGATTCGGCACCCTCTCGGCCCGTCCACCCTGCCCGGCGAACCCTCCAGGCCGTCCCGTCGTCGTCGTCGTCGTCGTCGTCGTCGTCGTCGTGGTCGTCGGTGTCGTCGTCGTCGTCGTCGTCGTCATCGTCGTGGTCGTTGTGATCGTCGTCGTCGTCTTCGTCGTCGTCCGTCGTTCGTCCGCAGTCTCGTGGAATGCTCCTCTCTAGAGAATTATGACCGTCAAATCTCCGGAAGCGGTTCCGGGCGCTCTCGCCTCGACGCCGGCGACAGTCTCTCTGAAAACGAGGTCCCCGCTCGAGCGTTGGCTTGAGTGTAAAGAGGGGCCCTCGGAGGCACGGCTATTCAGCGCCCCGAATCATCAGGGATAACTCGGGTCAGGGATAACTCGGGTTCGTTTTTCGGGAATCCAAACCCGAGTTACCCCGGACCCGAGTTACCCCGGATAACTCGGGCGTCCAGCGCCCCGAATCATCAGGGATAACTCGGGTCAGGGCTAACTCGGGTTCCTTTTCCGGGAATCCAAACCCGAGTTACCCCGGACCCGAGTTACCCCGGATAACTCGGGCGTCCAAGCTATCGACATCTCCTCACAATTTAACCCCGAACCACCCTGGCCAGAGAGGCCTCCGAACTCAGGAACGGCGCTCTCGCTCGAGGCTTCCTCGCAATTCAAGCGAGTTGGCCCCAGCCACGACGACAAGGGCTCCTGCTTGATGCTTCCTCACGATTTACTTCGAGAGCCCCTGGCAAGGAAGGCCCCCGAACTCAGGAACGGCGCTCTCGCTCGAGACTTTCTCATGATTCAGTCAAATTGGTGGAGGCCCAACTTCGACGACAAGGGCTCCCGTTCGCTACCGTTCGATACTTCCTCAAGATGCACTCGCGGAGGCCCTTGCCAGAGAGGCCCCCGAACTCAAGAGTGGCGCTCTCGCTCGAGATTTTCTCGTAACTCAGGCAAGTTGGTGGAGGCCCAGACTCGGCGACACGGGCTCCCGCTCGATGTTTCTCAATATGTATTCCGAAAGCCCCTGGCCTGGCCAGAGAGGCAGGCCCAGACTCGGCGACACGGGCTCCCGCTCGATATTTCTCAATCTGTATTCCGAGAGCCCCTGGCCTGGCCAGAGAGGCCCACTCAGGAGCGGCGCTCTCGCTCGAGAGTGCGCACTTCAGTCAGTGGCCGACACGGAAGAGATTCCCCCCGAACGGTGGTGCGATCGAAGATGAAGTGGGCGGATACTCCAGATTTCGTAATAAAAGGGAGGGGGGTCTCATTTCGGGGGGGGTCTCTTCCAGGCCATCTCGGAGGGCCTGGGGGGGTCTGGGGACGACGTTTTGGAGGGTTCTCCCACGGGGGGGGGTCTGAAATGGCTCGTCTGGGAGGGTCCAGACCCCCTCCCTTTTATTACGAAATCTGGAGTATTCCCCCCGAACGGTGGTGCGATCGAAGATGAAGTGGGCGGGTATCGAGGGTTGTGGTATACAGAATTGCAAAACACGCGTGCCAGAAATAACAAGCAGTCTTAAAATGATCGTCGTCGTCGTTGTCGGCGTCGCCGCCGTCGTCGTTGTCGTCGTCGTCGTTCGTCGTCCGTCGTCCGTGTACCGTTCGTGTATTGTCGGCCCGTCCGCCTTGCCCGGCGAACCCTCCAGGCCGTTCCGTCTTCGTCGTCGTCGTTGTCGTCGTCGTGGTCGTGTTCATGGTCGTTGTCGTCGTCGTCGTGGTCGTCGTCATCGTCGTCGTCATCGTCGTGGTCGTTGTGATCGTCGTCGTCGTCTTCTGTCGTCTGTCGTTCGTCCTCATTCTCGTGGTCGTCGCCGTTGTCGTCGTCGTCGTCACCGCCACCGCCGTCTTCACCGTCGTCGCCGTCGTGGTCGTCGTTCCTCGTCGCCGTCGTCGCCGCCGTCGTGGTCGTCGTCGTCGCCGTCGTCGTCGTCGTCGCCGCGGTCGTCGTTTGCCGGCGCCAGAAGGAGGGGGGATCCGTCGGCTCTCCACCCTCCGAAGCGCGAGCGGCAGGGTGGACGGGGCTGTCCCCAGCTTGTCGCTCCATCTCGGAGCACCCGCGGGCCTCGCGAGATGGCGTGCTCTGGAGACCGCCTGGGCCCCCCCCAGACGTCCTGGGGACTCAACTTGGGCCAGGGACGCCTCCCCAGACCCCCGACGTCATGATTTTTTCATGACGCGACCCCCAGAGGTCCGGACCCATCCCCCGGGACCGGTTTTTCGTCCTGAGCTGTTTTTTGACGGTCCCGAGGGCCGGTATAAGGGCCCCCAGAGGCGGAAAATATAGAAAAACCTCCCGTCGTGATGTTTCATGACTCGAGGGGGTCTGGATCTGGGAAGGCCCGACCCTCGGGGCCGCGGCCTCTTTGGGGGCCCTCGCAGGGCCCGGGGCTCTGGCCCCAGGCGTCCGCTGCCTCGACCTCCCCACCGCGGGGCCCCGGGGCCGGCTCTCCGGCCCGAGCCGCTCCTCGAGAGGAGGAGGAGGAGGAGGAGGAGGAGGAGGAGGAGGAGGAGGAGGACCCAGACCTCGGGCGTCTCGAAAAAATAGAGACAAAGGTTTTTCGTCGTTTTCGGCCTCTGGAAGCCCTCGCCGGGCCTCGGGACCGTCAAAAAACGACTCGGGATGAAAAATGGGTCCCGGGGAAGTGGTCGGGAGGTTGGGGGCCCGTGTCTCGAAAAAATCGAGACGTCGGATGTCTGGGGAGGGAAGAGGAGGGAGGAGGGAGGAGGAGGGGGCCACATGCGAACCCTACCCCTACCCCCCCACGATTTCTGAGGGGGAGGGTGGGGTTCACTTCGCTCGGGAGCTCCCGAGCGAAGAAGTGAACCCCACCCCACCCCTCAGAAATCGTGGGGGGGTAGGGGTAGGGTTCGCATGTGGCCCCCTATATGCCCACCCCTCAGAAATCGTGGGGGGGTAGGGGTAGGGTTCGCGTGTGGCCCCCCATGGCGAGGGCTCCGGCGAGGGCGAGCGTGGCGAGCACGCAACAGCCAAAGCGCGTCGAGCCTCTCCCAGAGCCGGAGGCCCACAGGGGGCCCTCGTCGGGCCCGGGGCAGCGGCCTGCCCCGCAGGCGCCCGCAGCGAGGGGCGAGGCCGCGGAGCCGGCGCCGCCGGCCAGCGCGCCCGGCCGCGCCGGCGGCGGCTACTTCACGGGCGACGACCCCGCCCCCGAGGCCGCGGCCGGGCCGCGGCCGCGCGCGGGCCCCAGACCTCGGGCGTCTCGAAAAAATCGAGACAAAGGTTTTTCCTCGTTTCCGGCCTCTGGAGGCCCTCGCCGGGCCTCGGGACCGTTAAAAAACGACTCGGGATGAAAAACCGGTCCCGGGGAAGTGGTCGGGAGGTTGGGGGCCCGTGTCTCGAAAAAATCGAGACGTCGGATGTCTGGGGCCCCCAGACCCCCGACGTCATGATTTTTCATGACGCGACCCCCAGAGGTCCGGACCTATTCGCCGGGACCGGTTTTTTATCCTGGGTTGTTTTTTGACGGTCCCGAGGGCCGGTAAGGGCCCCCAGAGGCGGAAAATATAGAAAAACCTTCCGTCGTGATGTTTTCATGACTCGAGGGGGTCTGGGCCCGAGCGAAAGCCCCCGCGTCTCCCCCAGCCCGTCGCCCCTCTCCCTCCCCTCCTGCCCCGGCACCGCTCGGACGTGTGCATTTCTTTTCGCGGCGAGAACCATCGAGGGCCATCCTGGACCATCGAGCAACAAAAAGCACGCACGAAGCCGAAAAATGCACGGGAAATGGGCATCCGAGCGACGGCAAGCTCCCCTCCTGCGGTCCTGGCGACTTCATTCGCTCGAGCCGGGCGTCGTCGCCCGGTTCCGGGCCACGGGAGCCTCACAGGGCGATCCGGCGCGACAAAGGGCACAGAGAGGGGGGGGTCTGATAGGGCTCTGGTCGTGATTGCTCGCGAGGTTTCCATTCTTTTTCGCGACGTCGGATCGCAGGGCTCCCCCTCCGGTGCCCTCCCCCCTCCCTGCCTCCCGTGCCCTCTCCTCTCGGGAGCGGCAAAGAGGGGGGCGATGACTAGGGGGGGGTGGATATCATGGCGGGGGCCATGATATTTCTCAGATTTCATGGCGCCTCTTCTTGTTTCATTACGTCCCTGGCCCCCCCGCTGGGCCGCGCACATGCCGCCGGTCATGATTTGCACCCCCCCCTCTTGGACACCCCCCTCTTGGCCGCCCCCGATCCTCCCCGCCATGCCTCTCCCTCTCCCTCCCCCGGCCACCGGGGGGGGGATGCCGCCTCCCCGCGTCGTTAATCTTCCACGTCGGCCCCCGGGGGCCATTCCTGGGCCCCGGGGGCCACCAGAAAGGGGCCATGGGGCGCCAGAGCACGCCTGGGGCAGGAGTCGAGACCCCTTCCCAGACATGATGGCGTCGTAAAAAAATCAGGACGGGCGGTTTTTGGGTATTTTCGCCCTCTAGAGGTCCTCGCCGGGCCTCGGGACCGTCAAAAAACGACTCAGGACGAAAAACCGGTCCCGGGGAAAGGGTCGGGACTTGCGGGGACGCCGTCCTGAAAAAAACAGGACTTCGCATGTCTGGGTTGGGGGCCGCGGATGGTCCGACTGGTGCCTCGGATGCCCGGGGGGACGCCGAGAGCAGGAGCAGCTCGGGTTCGGCAGGGGGCCTCTGCTTCTTATTCAGGAGGGAAAAAAACACACAGACACAATGAATCGTCGACTCCCCCGAAAATATGGGAAAATATGGGAATTGGGCGGGAAGGCAAAAATCACGAAAATATAGGAAAATATGGGGGTTTATGTTATTTGTGTGTATTTATTTGTGTGTCCCAGGGCCCCTTCACTTATGGATTTCCACGGGGCTCGCCGCGCATCGAGGCGCAGCCGGGGGCCACAAAAGAGGGGCGCCGCTCCTCCCTCGCCGCTCCTCGCGGCAGCAGCTTCACAGCCCCCCCCCCGGGGGGGGCCCGTCGGCTTCGGCTTGGGCGTTGCGTAATGGGGGGGTCATAAATGGGGGGTTGGTGAGGGTGGTCCGAAAAGGTACCCAAACGGTACCTAAACGAGCCCCCTGGGGGTCCAGAGGGGCCCGAAAGGGGCACGAAAGGGGACCTTTTCTGACCCCCCCATTTGTGACCCCCCCATGAAGCCACGCCCAATCGGCCCGCCTCTCGAGAGACCATCGACCTGACGGGTTCCTCGGGGCACGGATGGGGGGGGTCCAAAAGCCCAGACCTCGGGCGTCTCGAAAAAATCGAGACAAAGGTTTTTCGTCGTTTCCGGCCCCTGGAGGCCCTCGCCGGGCCTCGGGACCGTTAAAAAACGACTCGGGATGAAAAACCGGTCCCGGGGAAGTGGTCGGGAGGTTGGGGGCCCGTGTCTCGAAAAAATCGAGACGTCGGATGTCTGGGAAAGGGGGGGAGGGGGGGGGGGACAAGGGACAAGGGGGTGTTGGATACCGTGGGCAGGGCTCCGAGGTCTCTCCCTGGATGTCACGGCCCCCCCTTCTCCTCCTCTCTTGGCACGTTCCCTGCCCCGCCCCCCCGCCCCGCCCGCCCCCCCTTCCCTCCCCCTTGGTGGGGGGAGCGAACGGTGACATAAACATGAAAACTCGGAGGTCCGCGCGGATTTCTCGGATCGGCGCTGGAACCCCCCTCCCTGGCGCGCGGAGCGCGCCAGGGGCGGCGCCGGAGGCGCCGCCAGGGGGCTCCAGCGCCGATCCGAGAAATCCGCGCGGACCTCCGAGCTTTCATGTTTATGTCATCGCTCGCTCCCCTACGTGGCCCGCCCACGTGCCTCGGGCCATGACTTGGCGACCCCCCCCGTCTCTGGCACCCGCCGATCTGTCCAACTTTTTCCGTCCGCGGCCCCGGAGAGACGGTAGAGGAAAAAAAATTAGTAAACACCCCCCTCTGCCCCCCAAACTCAAAGTTGGGCCGACGCATCAGACCCACCGCCAACTTTGACGGTTGGGGGGAGGGGGAGGCGTTGACAGATGAATGTGGCACGAGTGTTCGCTGTTCTTTTCCGAGGCCTGGATCTCGACCCCTTCCTCTTTCAGGAGCGAAAGAAGGACGTACATGTGCATGAGTCCACGCTGGTTTCGAGAGCACGCATTGCACAAATGTCTGTACAACGCGGCCAGTCTCGCGAATCGAGGGGCCGTGGTCATGTACATAGCTGGGCGCGTACGCCCTTTGGGGGCTCCCTCCTTTTGGGGGGCAGCCAGCCGCCCTGGCTCCCCGCCCCAGGCCCGTCGAGCGGGCCCAGGAGGAGGAGGAGGAGGAGGAGGAGGAGGAGGAGAGGAGGGAGGAGGAGAGGAGCAGGAGGAGGAGGGAGGAGGAGGAGGAGAAGGAGGAGGAGAGGAGGAGGAGGAGGAGGAGGAGGAGGAGGAGGGAGGAGGAGAGCAGAGGAGGAGGAGAGGAGGAGGAGGAGGGGAGGAGGAGGGAGGAGGAGGAGGAGGGAGGAGGAGGAGGGGGGAGGAGGAGGGGAGGAGGAGGAGGAGGAGGAGGAGGGGGAGGAGGAGGGGGGAGGAGGAGGAGGAGGAGGAGGAGGAGGAGGAGGCCTCGAGGAGGAGCGCGGGGCCTCGGCCCCTCCCTTCCTGGGGGGGCAGCTCGTCGGCCTGGCTGCCTGCCCCGGGCCCCGTCGGCGGGCCCAGGCAGAGGCGACTGCGAAGGGTCGGGCAGTGCCAAGGGGGGTCACCACTGGGGGCGTCGCCAGCTTCTCCTGGAAGTCGAGGCTCCAGGATGGAGAGTCGAGGGGTCGAGGATGTTCTGGGACGTTTCTTTGCGTTTTCGGGGCTCTGGGGGGCCCAGTTCCTCGAGGAAGTCTCGAGGAAGTGGCGTTTCCTCGAGGAAGTGGCGACCCCCCTGGTGGTGACCCCCCTTTGCACTGCCCCAAAGGGTGAGGTTACGCCGGGGTGTGGTTTGCGATCGGCGCCGTGGGGACCTGGGGGGCACGACGCCGTCCTCGTCGGGCCTCCTCGGGGCACGGCGGAGAGCTCAGTCGGGGTCCCCGCCCGTTCCCCCAGGGTGCCCCCCAGGGCGCCAGTTGCAAACCACACCCTTTGCAGACCACACCCTTCGGAGTCGCCGACAGGCAGAGGCCGAGGCCTCGAGGAATGCCGCCCGGATGGAACGGATCAGGTCGCAGGAGGAGGAGGAGGAGGAGGAGGAGGAGGAGGAGGAGGAGGAGGAGGAGAGGGAGGAGGAGGAGGAGGAGGAGGAGAGGGAGGAGGAGGGGGGAGGAGGAGGAGGAGAGGGAGGAGAGGAGGAGGAGAGGGAGGAGGAGGAGGAGGAGGAGGAGAGGGAGGAGAGGAATGGACGCCCCCCGCCCACGACGACGACGAGGGCCGGCCGAGGGACGGCCGAGGGCCGACGAGGGCCGGGGGGCGGACCGCCGAGGGCAGCGCCAGGCGCCCTCGCGAGAGGGAGCGCCCGGGCTCTCCCGGCGGGGGCCGGCGGGCGGGGTTTTCGCGCCGACGTCAACGGCACCGCAACGGGTACTTACTAACGGGTACTTTGCAATTTTGCCGAAAGTTGCCATTTTAGGGCCTCTTTCTGGCAAGGCAGCGTTGCCAGCATCGGGAAGGGTTGGGTTCGCTGGGTCACTGGCCAAAGTACCCGTCAGTGGAGTCCCCGTTTGAGGGGCGCTGACGACGGCCGCTTTCCCTCCTGCCCAGACCCAGACATCGGGCGTCTCGAACAAATCGAGACCAAGGTTTTTCCTCGTTTTCGGCCTCTGGAGGCCCTCGCCGGGCCTCGGGGCCGTCAACAAAACGACTCGGGATGAAAAACCGGTCCCGGGGAAGTGGTCGGGAGGTTGGGGGCCCGTGTCTCGAAAAAATCGAGACGTCGGATGTCTGGGGACCCCCTCGAGTCAACTCGCGTCGGTCACGCGCAGGGCGAGCGACGGCGAGCTCTCTGGCATCCGCCGATCTGATTTTTCCTATCCGCAGCACGGACGGTTGTCTTCTAAATGGGCCCTGTCCCGCAATGGGGATGTATTATTGTAGGGACGTGTGACGAGCGAACCTGGAGGGAGATGTTATTGCACCATCGGTGATGCGTCTTGGGTTTCCACTTGTACTCCTCTTCCTCCTCCTCCTCCTCCTCCTCCTCCTCCTCCTCCTCCTCCTCCTCGTGGTGCAACAGCGCCGTGGTCCAGACGCGTCGGAATTTCCGAGCCCTGGACGTCCTCCGCAGCCTCCTTGTTGATCAACCTTCTCTCCAAAAATGCGCAGACGAGCATTTGCAGGACAAGTGTAACATTTCAGCTCGTTGTGAACGAGACGAGCGTCTTCGAATAGCTGGTGCACCACCCGCCGTTTTCGGGAACCCACGAAACGGTGCCGCTGGTGCCAGTTTGGGGTAGCTGGGTATGATATTCTCCACGATCATGTCTGCCCGTGTTGAGACTTGATATTGGTTCGCTTCCCCCGCCTTCCCCCTTGGTTCGCCTCCGCCTCGGTTGCCGGTCGCATCGGGCTCTTCGGTCTCGCCCGTGTCCATAGCCTGCTTTTACAAGCGCGGAGACATGATTTCGTCCACACATGGTACATGTTCCATGGACATGGTACAAGCCGTTTTCGGCTTACCACACGTGTACTGTCGTGTTCGGACGCCTCGCACGAGCCCGTCTCAGGCAGAAGGCCAGGAGATCGCCGGCGGTAGGCGCCATCTTGGGGTGACGTCTGGATGGACTTTTGCCCTCGTCTCGTCCGTTTCTTGGCCGCCTGCCCTCTTCTCGTCTCTTCCATGGGAGTGTCTCTCCTCGTCCTCCTCCTCCTCCTCGTCATTCTCATCCTAATCCTCCTCCTCCTCATCCTCATCCTCATCCTCATCCTCCTTATCCTCATCGTCCTCCTCCTTCTCCTCCTCCCCCTCTGTCCCCTCCCCCTCCTCCTCCTCCATCCTCCTCCCTCCTCCCGCCCTCCTCCTGACGGTGCTGCGGAGTTTGACGCTCTCTTCTGCTGGATCGATCCGATCCCTCCTCCCAGGGAGGGGCATGCGCAACCCGCCGGCGCAGGAGGAGCCGTTCCCGGCCAGAAGGCTCGCGCTCCTGGCCTTCGGCTGCCTGGCCCTGCTGGCCACCGGCCACGCCACCGGCGCCGTGGAGAAGCTGGACGCGGAGCACATTGGGAGCATG